TTTTTTTTTTTTTTTTTTTTTTTTTTTTTTTTTTATAGGAAGGATTCGAGTGAAACTCCAGTTTAACATTGATTAACACAGTACAAATTTATCTATTCTTTTTTTATCTTTCTACATTTTATATTTAATCTTGTGCAATATGTATTATATTGATTTAAATGATTGCTTCCTCTAGGTTTGACTCCATATTATATGTTAATATAAAATAAGTATATATGAAACAATGAAACATACTATGTATGTAGTATGTATGAAAATTTTATGGTCTCATTTATTGTTTATATTTTTTGTATTTATGTTTTTTATTTTAATTCATATTTAGTTGTACATTTTAAATTTAAGAAAAGTTTGAACTAGGGTGTCTAATTGTTATTATTTTCTGGTTTCCCTGCTAAGCATCATGGTTTCAATTTATTTTAAACAACTTATAGTAAATGTTACTAAACTAATATTCATATTTTATTATTTACAACTTAGTTTAATATTTTTACCAAGTACATTTGTATAAATTTCAAAAATATTTTACAAATAATTTAAAAAAAATGTTTTTTTGCACTAAAATTAATTTAAATCAATTAATTATTTACATTATTTAAAATGATAATCACACATTTTATAAACATTTAAGAACCCTAGTTAAAGCATAGGCCAATAACCAATCAGCCACACTTCCACTGCCATGGACCTTGTATAGACAAACATTTAGGCATATATCTATTATAATATCATCTCACATAATCACATATCTTTATTAATCTCAATGAATGTAATTTATTTTTACTTTCTTTTTGGTGCCATACTGTCTTGAGTTGGTCCAATCATTTGTGATATGTAGGCGTAAGTATAACATTCTATTTTGATGATAATTCATAAAATGCTGTATATTACATTGTTATCATTACCAATTTTATATAATATCATCATATATATAATTTTCATATGATAATACTTGAACTATATATAACTGTAAAGTATAAAATCCAATAACTATGATTTTTGATACTTTGTAAAATTATTAAAACTTACAATATTTGATGAAAAATCGTGATTTTACTTTTATTTTTGATTTAACATTCCAAAAGAGTTGTGATTTTTAATTTATATTTTAGAAACTAATAATACTTATGACTGTATATAAAGTATATATTTATAAATGCAAATATATTATACATAGAATTTTTTTTTATATGTGTGTATGTTTTAAATTATATTTTTTTCAGAATAATTGTTGGTTTTTATTTTTTTTCCTTGATACTTTTTAGTAGGTATCTTATAAAAATATCTTGTTTGATGATATATGTCTAATGAACTTCAAAACTACTGAACCGATTTTGATAATATTGTACTGAATACGTGTTATTTCATCCAAATTATATTACTGGATTGAATTTATTTCTCGAAAATGTTACTATTTAAATGTTTGTTACAGGAAAAAGGATTTTTATTATGTGTAAGCTTTATCCATTTCTAATATATAGCGGTGAAGTTCGTTTATTGGCACTTATTATTACGTCGGTAACATAAATACCGCCGAAAAATCTATCCTCCACAATTGAGTCGGTACCAGAGAGAGGCATGACGCAATCGTGGCAAGAAACACAGCTCAAAGAATCAGGACAAGAGAGTCGTGCACAAGTATCTCGAGAATAGCGTAATGTGTGGACATCAAAGCCATATTTAGAGCACGATATCGAGAGAGAATACAAACTGATCGTGCATTAATACGTGCATAATTTGTTCGTTTTACGTTTGAATATGCATCAGGCATTAACAGTTGTCGAAATGGCTCAAGATAAGTGGAGGGATGCTTTATATGCCTTATGTGCCTTATCTGCCTAATTCAGATTTTCTAATGTCATCATAACATTCTTCACACCTTGTGTACCTATAATATTTTTATTTATTTTTTTTTATAGTTCACATAAAGTATATTATCTTAGTCCGTGGCTCTAAATACGGGTATAATACGAGTTGCGAAACGGCTTATACTAAACAACACGATAAGCCGGGCGCCCGGGTCTGAATATTAAGAGACATCGCAGACTACAGACGTTATATCGGCTGATAGTTTAGTCGGGTTCTTAATCAGTACAAAGTTATGTGCAAGAGCGCATATTATAACGATTTGGTATCGGCCGATTAATAAGTTTGATGGGCTGCGCGATTGTCTTCAAACTAAACAGTCGGCGAACTATCGGCCGACTGCTTAATCAGTATGGCGATAATTCCACGCGCGCACACTGCCGACTCGGTCGATTCACCAGAGCTTTGGAGCGGGAAGGTATAATAAAAGTATACTAAAAAGCGATTGCTATCGTCAGCAGAATTCAGCACAACTAAAAAATCTTTCGAGAGCAATCGGCCGATCATTGACCAGTTTGCGTTCCACCATCAACCAAACTGTTTAGTTGGCCCAATGTGCGCGATAGTAGCCCAACCCGACTAAACTATCGGCCAATGTAAAGTCTGTAGTCTGTGATGTCTCTAAAAACAATTATTTTCACTAAAAAAAAATATCTTATATATAAATATAAAAATGATATGTATATAATTTTAAAATACAAGTCTTAGGAGGAATGCGTTATTCTAGACAAAACAAGTAAAGGGATGAAAACTATAAATATAAAAAAGTAGAGGAATGCCACCCCTCTGTATCACCCCCACTTCGAGCACTGGGCATTAATTACTCTTATGTTGATGAAATTAACTTCCAAATCAACAGTTATTACCAGATAGTGTATTTTAAATCAATCGACACTATTGTTGATGAAAATGAAATCATAATATTTTTAACCATAGGCCCAGGTTTAAAAAACTTAAAAACCGTAGACCTTAAAAATGTTTTTTAATCTTCATAGTGCTGAAAAGATCTTTCCGCAGTACAAGACGATACTGGAATAGCCAAAATAATTTTTAGAAGTTAATTAAACCCTGTTAACATACCTCCAAGCGAATTATCCGATTTAAATACATCTATGGCATCATGTGTACAGTTTATACTAATTTTTCTTTATTTAAAAATACCTAGAAACATCTCTATGCAACTTGAGTTTTTCTTGATTGAAATCAATCCCATAAAAGGAACTAACATATGTTTCCAATTTTTCTTTACCAGTTATAAATTGTTCAAGTTCGCATAAATGTTTATTATATTTTTTTTAAATCGGTTATTTAATGATGATAATGTAACATCTAGAAGTTCGTAAAATGTAATTTTTTTATTTTTCTCTAACTGATGAAATTTATGTCCCTCACTATTACCTTGAAGTAATTTCTTAAGAATTTTTTTTATTCTTAGTTCGTTTGGCTTTTTCAGTTTTAGCTCACTAAATTTTATTGAAACTTGTTCCCATAAGTCATCAAATCCAATATCTCTTAGTTGTTGAATAGACATAATAATGCTTTCAATTTTTAATTGTGTTTAAATACATGTTATAAATATCCAATATTCTAATGGGTGCCCAGCCCCTTCCCCATAATAATTTCAATGGGTGCCTTCAGTGGCGTAACTGTGAGAAAACCTAGGGGGGCAATATAATATATTTATTGTTACCAAAACCCTGACACCCCTTCCCCTCACCAGTTAAAACATATTTTTATTGTATGTATTTTATACACTATATCTAATTGTTTGATTTTACAAAAGTCTTTTAACTCATTTTATGGTTTAAATAAACATAAATTGTAGGTAGCATGTACTCGGTACCAATATTGTTAAATAGTATCCATAAGAGTTAATTAATAAAAGATGCTGTTGGATTGTACTGTTGGATTATCGGGGGGGGGGGGGGGGGGAATTATACCTTTATCTCTCAAAAAATGGTCAGAGGGGGCACTTGCTTCCCCACAATCACGCCACTGGGTGCCTTAATCCCCAGGTACACATGTACATAGCGCCTATGTTTCTAACTGATTTTTTAAATTATTTTGATATTCCAAAAATACCATCATATAATCTCCAGTTGATGATTGGTTCACCTATTATTCTTATGCGTAATTTAAGTCCATCTAAATTATGCAACGGTACACGTTGGGTCATCAAAAACATTAGAGCGGAAAGTTTAAAAGAGAAATCGTCCTGTTGCCTCGGATTCCATTGATTCCATGAGAATCTCCAATATAATTCAAAATACTTCAATTTCATATTCGTTTGGGTTTCGTGATGACCATAAATAAGTCTCAAGACCAAACAATGTCCATTTGTGGTTTGAACTTAGAAAATCTATGTTTGTCCCATGTACATCTAGATGCCGTATGCCTACGTGTAGGAAAACCATCGAATTTATTTGTACCTAAAAAAAATAGTGCACCTATACCTAATAAATTAAAATTATAACTAAATTTTTTCTTCATTAAAATAATAAAAACAATTAATAATTAAAAACTAACCCGATCAAAGCTAGATAAATCCCCTAGTTAAAAACGTATTTTAAATCAGACGTTGGATATTAAAGATGAAAATTAAGTTAGATGTATTATGTATACTAAAATCATATTAATAAGATTAACACACCAAAGTAATATTTATTTGTTGATGCCCTTGGTCTACTTCCGTTGGAAAATTTTCAGGGTTAAAATAATTATTATCTGATGTTATGAATCATAATGAACACCTAAGGCTAGGCGATATATAAAGTATAAAAGTATTAAAGTATAAAAAAGGTTATCATTTAATAAATTTGATATCGATACCATTGTTTATCATAATTACTTTTCATTAAATTGTAATATAGTTATTAGTTACCTACTCGTAAAAAACAGTATGAAATAAAAGCTACTATTCATTTTTTAGTATATTATATATATTACTATTTACTTATCTATATTATTACTTATATTACTTATCTTATTCTATTACATATTTTAAATATTTTTAACATGTAAGAAAAATATAACCTTATATTTTTTTCATATCTTACATTTTAATGAATTTATATTATTTTAAATCCAACCAATGAAGTATATAAGAGTTCAATTAGGTAGATTTTTAGAAATTTGTTAAAGGATCTTCTATTTAGAATCAAAAACTATTTGCGATATACTCTTTCAAAAGAATATTTTAATTAATTTTTTGCTTTTAATATTGAAAATGTTTAACTCAAATCTATTAGAGTAATATGGGGTAAGATGACGCATGGGGTAAGATAAACTATTATCAATAAATTATTAAGATTTTTAATTATGGACATACTGTTTAGTGTTTATCAATGTACCAGCTATGTTTATCAGTAACACAAAAAAAAAAACGAGATTTACTTGAACAACAGCTCGAAATGAGATAAGTTTTAATTTTTTACTTTTTGATGTAATATTTAGATAGAATAAAATTAGTTATTCACATTGGAAAAGTTATTTATATAGGAATCGTTTTTTTTTTTACCATTTCTACACTATATTGGCTATTATTTATCATGTACTATGTTCTGATAATACGAATGCTTATTTGTATACAATTTTTTCAACAATGAAAAGTATATTGGGGTAAGATGGCGTATCGATTTGGGGTAAAAGTGCGCATTTCAGCATATGATGTTGACACCTACATATTTATTTATTTGAAATTATAATTATATGTATTAGTACCTACATAGTTGTTATAAAATTCATATTATTTACAATTAGAGCATCTAAATATTCTAAATACTTGTGTATATTTTTAGAAACTACGTAAGTTATTATCTATTTATTTAGTTTTAAAATGCATGAATTGATTTATTGATAATTTTTGTTTGGTTAGATCTACTACTGTAATACCTATCTACTTGTTAAATTTGTTTATTTTGTTGTTTTTGTTATACTATGATTAAACAAAGTTCAATAAATTGTTCAATAGTTTTTATTTGTGTTGTTATGTTTTAACATTTTATAATTTTTAATATAAATATAACTATATAATATGTCTTAAAAAGTCTTTACTTATTATTAATTTTATAAGCAAATATAATTAAAATAGACATTTATAATAAATTATAGTGATTACAATATGTAAAATGTATATTTAAGAATTTATTTTCCGTAACAAGATTAATTTAAAATAAAGACTTTTGCTTGCGCCCTTTTACCCCACCATGTGCGCAATCTTATCCCAGTGTCGGGGTAAGATTGCGCGTATGACTTATGTTAAGTTTTCTATGTTTTAAAACTAATCTATCCAAAATATTAAAGCTTTCATTGAAAAAATGAA